TTTTAAAGCTGGAAAGTTTACAGGAGCTAAAACTCCTCTTTTGGCTTATAACCTATTTCTCCCTCTACCAAATTATATGGTAGCGTATCCCACATTTCAACTTCTAAGTAAATTGGTCTTCATTATTCTTGAATTCCTGGCAGACATCACGTCTAAGAATTAATGTTTCGCATTCTGTCACTTTGAGCCTGTTAAGTGTCATTGTCACTGAATTCATTAGAAGGATTCGTGTGAGGACTTTAGTGCCTCTGTGAACATGTTTTTGTTTTGTTTTTAAATTAGGGCTCATTTATATGTTACTAATAATTACACCTTTACATGGGTATCATTTGTGGTTTTTACATGACCCGCCTTGGGAGTTGGCATGAGGATTAATACCAATAAAGCCATTAAAACTGTGCCTGGTACGTGCTCAGGGCTCAAATGCTAACTCGATCCCGGTTAGTGAGCGTTGTGACAGTGTGATCGGGCAGATGCCCTTTTACCAATGGGACTCTCATGCTCAGAAGTTTGATCGCCTGGAATTACAGGCAGAGTCAGGACCAGAGCCGGGTCTTCATAGCCCTAGTCTTATGCTCCTGACTGTCCTTGTAACTCACATTTGGGGGTTTAGTATTTCTTTCTTTCTAAAATTAATTTAAAATTTTTATTTTCAAATTTTAAATTACTGTTGACGTTCAATATTATATTAGCTTCAGGTGCACAGCATAGTGGTTAGACATTTGGGGTTCAGTATTTTAACCCAGGAATGTTGGGGGGATGCAGACATCAGGCCAATGGCAGTTTCTATGCAGTTAACAGATGTCTCTCCTTCCCCCTGCTGATGCCCCAGCTGAGCCCTTCATCCCCAGGCTACTCAGGAGCCTCCTGTCTTCCACAATTGGTTGTCTTAGGTCAGGCTGCCATAACAAAGTTTCATAGATCGAGTGGCTTAAACAGCTAAAGTTTACTCTCTCCCAGTTCTGGAAGCTAGAAATCTGAGATCAAGGTATTGGCAGGGCCCTGGCCCAGCAGCTCAATTAGTTAGAGCCATTGTCCTGATACACCAAGGTTCTTTGTTCAATCCCTGGTCAGGGCACATACAAGATGCAAACAACGAATGCAGAAATAAGTGAAACAACAAGTCGATGTTTCTCTCTCTCTCCCTCTCTCTCTCTCCCTTCCTCTCTCTCTCAAATTAATTTTTTTTTTTTAAAAAAAGGCATTGGCAGGGTTGGTTTTCCTAAGGCCTCTCTTTGACTTATAGATGGCCTCCTTCTCTGTGTCTTTGTGTGGTCTTCCATCTGTGCATGTCTGTGTCCTCATCTCCTCCCCTGATAAGGACACCAATCATATTGGATTAGGGCCGCCCTATTGACCTCATTGTAATTTAATTGCCTTTCAAAGACTCTATCTCCAAATACAGCCACATTCCGGGGTACCAGGTCTTAGGGCCTCAACATATGAATTTTAGGGGACCACTACTTGGCCTATAACAGTGTCTAGCAAGGAAGAGCAGCTTAGCCTCAGAGCTCCAGCCCAGTATGCTCCCAACTCCTAATCATGACCCTTGGGATATCAAAACCCATTAAATATCACTTAGTGCACTCTGTTAAAACACACACACACAAAAAAAAAAACAACAACAAAAAAACAGTATGATTCAGTTCTTTCCTTAGGGAGTGGGAGAAAGGAGGGTGAGACATGCAGTGTGTCAGGCACTATGCTGGGTTGCTGGTGCTTCTCAGACATTATATCCCCAAATCTCAACTAATTAGTGCACTCCATAACTGCCTCCATTTTACAGAGAAAGGAAGAGACATTACGCTACTTGCCCAGATCACACAGTTACTGTGTGATTTTCTCATGTGTCATTCCTCTTTCTCAACAATGTTGAGGATTGACGGAAGGAGCATAGGAGCCATGTGGGTGAAGTAGGAGGAAAGTGATCTCATGGTTCACCCAACTCAGACCCTTCCCTTGAGAATTAAAAAATACAAGGCTGATCAAAGAAGGGAAGATAAATGGGAGAAACTATTTTTTCCAGACTGGTTTAAAACTTTTGGAAAAAAGTTACTGAGTTCTGAAGGGAATAAGGGAATGCTCTGTGTCAACCACTTACTGCCACACTCATCCATCAGCCTATACAAATTGAATTTATTCAACAGCTTTAATCCATCTGCTGGATTTTTTATTACTCCTCCCCAGCTAGAGGCAGCATGATGTGCCCTTTGAAAAGCTGGACTCTGAAATGAGACCATCAGGGTCCAAATCTTAGTTAGGTAAGTGGTCGTAGGCAAGTCTCAGTTCTCTCTGCTGGAAGGAAGGAAGGGAAGAAGGAAGGAAGGAAAGAAGGAAGGAAGGAAGGAAGGAAGGGAGGAAGGAAGGAAGGAAGGGAGAAAGGAAGAGAGAAAGGGAGAGAGGGAGGAAAAAGGATAGCAATAATAACTTCTGATTAGATTGTTATTGTGAACATTGAGTCAATCTATGTAAAGTGCTCAAATCAACACCTGGAACCTAATAAACCTCATGAAAGGATTAGCTGTTGCCTGTATAGAAAACAAGGCCCATAAAGGCAAGAATCTTTGTGTATTTTCTGATGTATATCTCTAATGCCCTGAAGTGCCTAATGGGCAGGTAATAGACATTGTCATAAATTCGTATTTGTTCTATGAATGACTGAGAATGCAAATATGGTGGACCCTGAGCAATCTGCAATGAAGAGGAAATACCCAGTTTCAGCAAGTTTGTAGAGTTTTTGTTGGTTGGCTGGTTGAAGCTGTAAGCCCCCTGGTGAAGAGATAAATAGAAGGGAGTGAGGCAGGGGAGGGGTGGGAGAGCTTTTTTCAGCCTCCTGAGTGGCAGGAGAGCTCTAGGTTGTCTGGTTGTATTTCCCTCCCATTTACCTGTATCACCTGTAGATCTGGGGATGAAATCACTCGCTGGGGCCTCAGGGCTCGACAGTATGGCAGTCACTCACTGACACTGAAATAGTTGGATGCCACTCTGGTACCTTCAGAGCTTCCATCCTGTCACTGCTCTCTGGGATGGGTTTAATAATTTGTGTTGTCATCAAAATTTCTAAAATGATTGCCAAATTTTCTTTCCAGGCTCAGGTTGCATGAGGAAAAAGTTATTAAAGATAGGCGACATCATCTCAAAACCTACCCAAACTGCTTCGTCGCAAAAGAACTGATTGACTGGCTGATTGAGCACAAAGAGGCTTCTGACCGAGAAACAGCAATTAAACTCATGCAGAAATTAGCAGACCGGGGCATCATTCATCATGGTGAGTGAGGTGACACTAAAGGAGAAATGAAGGACTACATCTTTATTCCAGATATGAACCTACCCATTTACAAAATAAAACATTTGACTTTAATTGCCTCCTGTGAACCTTTCCCCAGCTTCTTTTCCTTCCTCTCTCTAAGAGGCATTTGGATTTATTTCCATGAACTTCTTTATACTTTTTCTTCTTCCTGTATGTGCATCTTTTTGCAACATATCATATTGTTTTTAAATCATTATAGAGATGGTTATTTATTCGTTTGCAGCTTGATCAATGTGCTTTTGGGGAGTCTCATCTATACTGATAGTGTATCTCCTGTTTTCTTATTTTCACTGCTATATATCCCATGTATAATTGTGCCATCATGCATTTATCCATGGACATTGAGGTTATTTCTAACTTTTTGCTGTTACGCTCAATGGTGCAATGAATATTCATGAACATGTCTCCTTAAAATCACTAACCCTGGCCAAGATCTTGCACATGCTGGTATTCTCTCGGGCTAGAATTCCCTTTCTCTTCATTTTTGCTTAATTGCTACTCATTGTTCATGTCTCCACTTACATGCAAACTCTTTAGAGAAACATCCAGTCCCCAAAGCTAGATTACTGGGGTATTGGGTACTCCTTCTTTGGGCCCCCATATCTCCTCACCTCCTTCATAATCTTATCACATCCTATTTTAATTACATGTTGACATTTCTCTTTCTCTCGCTAGATTTCACATTCTTTATGGTTGATGCCTCCCCCGATATCATGCTCAAGTGGAGTTTGTGGAATGAATGATGAATTGAATTTGGTGACTCTTTTTTGTTGTTGTTGTTTTTGTTTGTTTGTTTTTTGTGTGACCTTTTTAATAGGTAATGATGATGATGATGATATAATAGCTAATAATACTGAGCACTTACTTTGTTCCAGGTACCACACTAAATACTCTACATGTATTAAGTCATAGAGTAGCGTGCTTGAGAAATTAGGTAGTAAAACAAATCTTAATTAGCATTATAATTCATTTGAGTCAATAAATAAGAATTTTTTTTCTTATTTTCCCCTCTCTGTATATTGTGTTTCAGTGTGTGATGAGCACAAGGAATTCAAGGATGTCAAACTCTTTTACCGCTTTAGAAAGGATGACGGCACCTTCCCATTGGACAACGAAGTGAAGGCCTTCATGAGAGGACAAAGGCTATATGAGAAGTATGTTGCACTTGAAATCCCCCACTGTAACCTTAACTTTTGGAGAGAAGCAAGGCTATTTTAGTCTTTTATCATTTTGACTTCAGCCTGGCTCTTCCATGTGGGATGGTTACATAACTGTTCCTTTAATAATGAGAAAACTTTCTCACTCACTTGCTTTTCTCTTTGCCAGAAATTACATCACTTTCATAAGATTCTTAATAAAGAATTTATTTAAATAGTGTTTTCTATATTTAGGTCGATTTAACAAACCCTAGAAGTAAAAACAGAAGGTTAGAGCTTGATGTTTGCAATCAAAAGATGCAGCTGCCCATTCTGTCTTTAAAATACTGTTGTGTAACTTGGAGGTTTAGTCTTGTAAATGGCTAGAGATGCAGTGTCAAGTGCAGTGGAAGTCTAAGTTCAGGTAGAGAAATGAGAAGTGAGAGAACTTCAGGTAGAGGAAGAATCTCAGAGCATTTTGAGAAATGAATATACTATAGCCCAGGAGTATTTGATTGGTGGATCTTGAATCTCCCCAGTTATCTCTGAGCTGATCTGCTATTTCTATGGTTCCTATTCCATCCTACCTCCCTTGTTTTTGTCCCCCTCTCCTCCATCCTCCTGGGCAACCATAAGAGAAAGGAGTGCAGGAGCAATGGCACCCTCCCCCCCACCGCCTTAACTCTGTTTGCCTTTCAAGGTTTCAGGGAGTTGAACATATGTATTTATCACATAAAAGAGTTTACTCTGTGATGGGTGGGTTGGTGCATGGGGGAGAGGGCCTGGGTGGTCAAATAATGGTTAAGAGCCAGAAAGGACTGAGTTCTAGCCCTGTCACCTTACCTTTGTAAACCTCAGTGTCCTCTTTTATGACATGGAAGTAATGATAGCACCCACCTCCTAGATGTATAATTCTGTGTGGGAATTAACAGAATAAGCTGTGTCAAATACTTAAGTATTTAGCTGAGTAATTCTGGTATGTCATTAGACTCCATCGATGAAAACCATTTTGGATATTAACACGAAAGTGATGGCCATCTATGAACCTCCTATGTCCTGCCTCTGTTCCAGTTCTGTTCACCTTTGTTTCAAGCTGGGATTGTCCAAACACTTAATGCCCAATATGTACTAGTTTGCCTGTCATCTGCTTCCGATATTGAAGAATTGAAAAACCCTCATCTCTCTGACTCACATGAATTTGAATGGAAGGGATCCCTCAACACCTCCATTGTCTACTTGAGTGTGTCTATATGTTTTGTTGCTGTTTTATTTTACTTTCTTAGTTCCTTTAGGACAATCCTAGCAGGTGTTGGGTATTTAGATTACCATCTTGATCACTTCAAGCTATAAGATTCCAGGTTGTCAAAAACATACATGTCATTTCCAAGGAAGGAAGCCAGGGGTTTTGTGACACTCTTCTCTAGCTACAGTTGATCTCTCGGGATCTGGGTAACCATAATGAGGGAATTGGGATTAGCAATAACTGAAAATGTCTGATACAGAACTATTCTTGCCAATGGGATGGGTATGATGGGTATAGGACCAAAATAAGAAGAGTAAAAGAGAGTTGTCATAGCTTCTAGAAAACAGACTTACTCTAGCTCCTTATATCCTATGCGCCATTCACACTGAACTGTGTGTCTCTGGACTAGCCTTCAGGCCATTTATTAATTCATTAATTATTCAACAAAAGTTCATTGAGCTCTTACCACATGCACGTACAATTATGGGCACTGGAAATGTGCCCTGAACCAGAGACAGACAAAGCCCCTGGCCCCATTTAATTAAAGAGATAGACACTAAATGGATATCACATGAAGAGGAGTGTAGTGGAATACATGGTTTTCAGTGCTAGAAAGAAAAAGAGACTTACTAGAGTGGTGAGGTATGGCAGATAGGAGGGTCACGGAAGACTTCCCTGAAAAGACTGCACTTGAATAAAGTGAGCCTTGCAGATATCTGGTAGAAGAGCATCCCAGACAGAGGGTACAGCAAGAATAAAGGCTTGGAAGCAGGAATGTGCATGGTGTATCTTATGTCAGTAAGGAGGCCAGAGTGTCCAGAGGGCAGGAAGTAAGGGGAGAATAGTAGGAAATGAGTTGAGGCCAGATCATATAGGATCCTTTAGGCCATGATGTGCACTGAGGATTTTAAGTGTAGTGGGAAGCCTTTGGAGAGCAGGGAGGAGAGAAGTGGCATATGATGTACTTTTTGTATATGCTGTTCCCTCTGCCTGGAAGACTCTTGAGACTATTCTTACCCCCTTTCTTAGTTCACTCTCACTCCTCCTGGCTGCATGTTCACTATGACCTTCTCTGCGAATCCTTCCATATCGCCTTATGACTGAATTAGGTGCTGTAACTGTGTTTTACCCATCTAAGAGCTATATTAAAATTTCATCTGTGTTTACTGTGTTAGATTATGAAACATAAGGGTAGGGACTGCTTTATTTTTCTTTGTATGTCTTATGGTTTCACATGTGCCTCGCCAGATGTAGATGGTAAATATTTGCTGAAAAGTATGAATAAACTCTTCGATCCCTGGATGAATTGATCAATATTGCTGTACTTTCTCTGTGTGCAGTTGGCTTTCCAGTCATTAGTGTTCACCGTCTCAATTTCCAAGTAGATTTATTTCTTTAAACTGCTTGTGAAATTAGCGCTAGGAAAAGTAATTTAATAAGTACTTAACCTTGCATGAACTGGCTGCCACCTCGCAAAGCTTGGCTCCTACTTTTGGTTGCTGGGTCATGCATGGAACAAATGTTAGGCTCTTTGGAATTGATGGCGTAGTTTACCTATTTGATCAGTTTTGTTTAGTGTAATTCTATTGTATGCATTTTTCTTGTTTCCCTGGACATCTTTTCCATGAATCTCAGCATGTACTATTATTTTGTAACTTTGGGGTACTTTAAAAAATAACATTAAGAAATGCATTGCTGCTTTTGTTCATACTCATCTTTTCAAGTATTTTTCGATATTATTTTAGGATTCTCTAATATTTGTAAAAGAAGGTCTTGCAAAATACAAGGGGGGGGGGCAAAAGTTGATTTACAGTTGTTCATATGGAAAATAATACAATAAATAATTATACAAGAATACACTTTTTGTTTTATGTACTCACAATTGTAAACTCACTTTTGCCCCACCCTGCATGTTCCTTTTGCTATTTTCCTTTTAAGAAAATGAAAACAGATAATATTTGTTGATTTCTAACTCTGTATTGGACATCCTGACAAATCCATTTTATTTAATCACCATAACAACCTCTATGCTATCATTGTCTCCATTTTATGGTTGAGAAAAATGCGGTAGGGAGAGGTTAAGTCTCATACCCAAGGTCACCTCCCTAGTAAAAATCAGCTGGGATTTGAACCCAAGAGCTCAGAGTCCAAACTTATTGCTACTAGGCTATTAATAAATTTTTTCCTTTAGTGGAGATCATATGAATAAAATCAATGTTCACTTCAAAATGTAGTTTATCTTAAAATGTATGGCAGAGTTTGTAAATATGCGGGTAAGGAACTTTCTATAAAAATTTATTGAAAATATTCCAGGATTCTAAAGCAGACACTGGCAAAAGAGAGTGAAATGATTTTCTTTCCTGGTAAATCTTTGTGGTCAATGTGATCAAAACAATGCCTTTTTTTGGGTAACTTAAGCTCTTCAAAGCATTTCCATTAGATTATTTTCTCTGATCTTCCTTAATAGAGTAATAATAGAGTAGTAAATGATGTTGATGATAATGATGATGATGTAAATAATGACAAAATAGATGGGGCATTACGTTATGGCCCTAGAAGGAGGAGCCCGCAGGACCCGAAGCAGTTAAGTCATTTCTGGGTGGTGACTGCAACTGGAGAGGGACAGAGAGACACCTGACCCTGGGTGCCAGGTGTGTAGACCACTGCTCTTCCACAACCACCCACCAGCTCAGAGGGGCTGGCTGTGTTGTCAGGATTTCCTTTATGCTCTACTTTTGCTTGTTTGTTCTGTGCTATGAATAGACGTGGTGAAACTTAGTGGTTTCTGGCTGCAGTTTTGCTGAGCCTTGCTGATTTGGGGGCACCCTGGCTTTCTCACCCTCCGTGGTATTTCTCAGTCAGATATTTCATAAGACAAATCTTGGGGGGAGAGGGGTATCAAAACTAAAATGTAGTGACTCTGTTACCTCTTTTTTTAAAAAAAAAAATACACACACACACACACACACACACACACACACACACACACACTAGAGGCCCAGTGCATGAAATTTGTGCACTGGTAGGGTCCCTAGCAGCTTCTGGCCGGGTCCTCCCTCCCTTCCTCTGGCCAGCCCTGCCCCCTGGTTGAATTCCTGGACAAATTCCTGGTTGAGGGGACAATTTGCACACTATGCTTTTATTGTATAGGATTTGTTGATTTCAGAGAGGAAGGAAGAGGGAGAGAGAAATAGAAACATCTGTTATGATAGAGAATCATTGATCTGCTGCCTCCTGCACACCCCACACTGGGGATTGGGCCCACAACCCAGGCATGTGCCCTGACCAGGAATCAAACCGTGACCTCCTGGTTCATAGGTCGATGCTCAACCACTGAGCCAAGCCGGCCGGGCTCTACTACCTCTTAATGTCTTTGTCACTCCAGTTACCTTCACTCAGAGGTACTTGAACACATGCCAAGGGGCAGATGCTGACCCTTTCAAGTTGTCTCACTGTGAGAAAAGTTATCGGTGAGCTGGTGACATGAATCCTCCTGTGCAGCGAGTGACAGCAGGTGTGGGCTTCGGAGTCACACAGCCCTGGTCTCCAGTCACAGCCTCACAGCTTGCTTGCTCTGTGACCTTGAGTAGGGTGCTGAACCTCTCTGATCTGCAGCCTTAAATGGAGATAAGGCCAGGACCCACATGCACAGGCTATTGGGAAGAATAAATGAAATATGGTTGTACAATGCTAAGCACAGTGCTTGACTCACAGAAATGTTAGCGGCTGCTATTAGAATAGTAAATAATAATATAAATGAATGATACCTCTTAGT